CCCGGGGTTGTCCGAGGGTCTTCCACCCCTCTCTTCTACCACGAAACCACACGAGAGGACTTCTGACTCGCCATATATTTAAAATACCTCCCTGCCGCAAAGACACTATACATTTAGAAACATCCATACCATTTCCGGGATTTGATTCCGGGTCCTTCGGTACGGCAGTCAGAATCACTAACCATTATAGGCGACTAAAGTATCTTTATTTTTACTAAAAGTTGTTTTGTGATCCAATATGTCATAATCTAAAAGCCTACCTCACTTGAAATATTTCTCAGAGTGGAACCACTAGGAAACGAAAAGCTCAAGAAATAGTTAGCCGTACAATATTTTTGAAGCATTTATACATAAGCACAAAGCAGCTGCAAATGCAAAAGAAATATGCCTATCACATGATTCGACTTCTTTAAGTTAACCTACAGATACAGACCAATTGCCTTATTTTATCGTAACCCAAAATGTCACAAAATGTATAATAAATCTTTATCAACAATACTTTACTGACAGCTTTCACGGATACAGAGCGTTTTCTGCATCACATTTCCTATGTTTGAAATTCTTTTACTATAGGGAAGAAAAAAAGATACTTAAACTAGTTGGGTTCAGAAAATGTCACTTTCAAAATTAAAGCGATTTTAATAACGCTAGTTTAATTAAACTTAAATAAATTGCATGAAGGGCGCTAGTAGCAAAACCCGCGCAAATATACTACAGTGCTTTCGATTTATGCCTAGCAAAGGATGAAAGTGATTTTCCTTTCAAAAGCCAACGTTCATTAATAATCCTTTAAGAAAATAGTTAATCTTAAACATGCAAAATCTCTTATACATGCATAGGATTTTGGAAAGTACAGTGAAAAATATTTTCCGCAAACATGTTTCCTTAGATCAAATTTTCTTTTAAAAGATTTGTTTATTAATATTCCCAATAAGAATTTACGTTCAATTAAATTGTTTTTAATATGATTTCGGATGATTTTAAAGATGTCAAGTGTAATAATTTTTCACACGTACATTTTTTTTCTTAATAGTAATTATATGATGTATATTTGTATAAATATTTGTATTTGTTTACAATTTGGTTTTTATGTACTTGTTTTTATTTAAGAGTTTATTATCCATGGTAATTTCATATTTATTTATTGTGTACTTTATTTAATTTTTAATTTGTGTCTCTTTCCTGGATTTGTTTGCGGTTTTTTCCAAATTTGGCGGTGCTCTAAATGTTTCTATAAAATGAATATTTGAAGTCCTAGGAACGACTTTTTTCGAAGCTTTCAGAAATGCTTAACACACTCGTTCCCATTCTTCAAAGCTATAGATAAGAGGCTGTTAAGCAGCCATCAGTCAATTGATTCAGCTAACAAGGTTCGAACAAGGTTCATGCCAACAAGGTTCCAACAAGGTTCCTGCCAACAAGGTTCATGTTCGTGCGAGTATATTAAATTTTTACTAACGCAAAAATGCATAGAGTGGATCTAATAAATTTTTGCAAATAAATGATAGAGGAATGAGAATAACCTTTTCTAGAACTATTTCGTTTTCCTTCTGTATATAAATTCTATATTAATTACAAGCATTTCATGTCTTACAGCATATAGATACACTAAAAATACGATAATCCTTAAATCGCATATTGGTTCTGACGATTTTATAAAACTGAGCTATCCTCCCCCCCCCCGATAAAAATTTAAAATGATATGACTTTCTATTTATGCAGATCTCTTGCAAGTACAGATTCTCCTACCAGAAAAATCAGTATCAATATTTACCAGAAAATGCTGAATTTTCTTCTTAAATAACATAGGCCTTCGATCATTTTCATTACTACAGTAATCGTGCAATACTGGTTTAAACTGAAAGTAATGCAAGATTGAGATAGAGAACTAAAAGAAAAAAAAAAGTTATTGCAGAAATTTCATTATTAAAATATAGTATCTATAATCTTCTATGCCCCTGTTTCAGTTCCCTTTTTGAAGAATCATTTCAGTTTTGCTGCAAAATATTCGTTAATTACATCTGCAATTTCTTGTTTACTGTGACGTTTTTGCCAACAAGGTTTGGTTTACTTGATTACGGCAAAGCACTCGAGGGCTATCTGCCTAAGTGATCGGATGCCTTCGTGGAGAATTGTGTAAGGGAAGCTGGCTCGTTTACACATGGGGAACGTTACACATGGGGTTTACACATGGGGAAAAACACCAACCATGCAACCAACCTGTTCGCCGAGATTCGAACCTCGGACCAAACTACCAGTTTTCAGAGTCTTCACCGCTCGGCCGCTGGTGCGCCCTTGGCCAACAAGAAAATGCTGTAGCGACTTGAAAAATCAACAATTAGAAGCTACAATATCTGGAGTCTTTGCAGGCTGAGGAAGAATTTCCTGTTTAAAAGCATCAAGCTTTTGTCGAGTCACTATAGCCGCATGTGGTTTAACGTTATCCTGCTGAAGAATCAATCACATTTTTTAATCTGTGCAGTTCATTTTATAGTTAAAACCAGTTTTAAATTATGTACCTGATAATATCAGATTAATAATCGTGTTATTTTCTAACAGTTCAAAATAAACCACACCTTTAAGTCCCAACATATCTGGAGCAAAACTTTCTTTTCATGCAATCCTGAATTTTCTGTGAGACTTAAAATCTCCTTTCGGTTAAACCGCTGTCTTTGTTTAGAGTAACATAAGCGTAAGGCGTCCATTTCTTGTCTCCTATAATAGCCTTTAAAAAAGGCTTCACTTCAAGTGCAAAACAATAATCATTGCTCATGGTTTTCAGCTGTGAATTCTCATGGATAGCATTCATCTGCAATGAGAAAACTAGCAAATTCATTTCAAGTAGTACTCTACTGTTGTTAAATATGTATAACGGAGCCCATTTCCTCTGCTGGTAATACAAGTATTTGACTGTATCAGCATATTCAATTCATCATCGTTCCCTTCTCTTGCACGCTCACCTCTAGGCTATCTAATTAAAATTTCCAAGTTCCTTTCTGAAATAATCCTGCTAGAGAAGGATGTTTTTAAAATTATCTTTATTTCAAGCATTAAAAAAATAAACAGTGGAAAATAAAAAAATTAAAATCATAAATAGTATGAAATTTAATGCTGCAGTTTTGTTGGAATTCAATCCAATTTTATCAAAGCGTCGTTGTTACTTTAATAGAAGTTACTCTCATCTATAGCAGAGGATATATAGTTACGCATGGAAACTGAGCTGCTTGGTCAGTGCATGGGGAACATTTTTATTTTTTTCCCGCTTAACATATTTCCTATACTCAATTACCTCCGCAGTCACAAAGAATTCTATAAATGCCGCATGAATAAAAGTCATTTCACAAATAATAGCTGTTCTGTGCTAAAACTTCACAAAAAATGTAAGAATAGTCCGAAAATTTATGAATTATAATGCATAAATCCTTGTTTGAAGAAATATCGTGTCCGTTTGATACAATAAGTTTCATTACTTGACAAGGGCTTGCGGTTATTCTTTTAAAGCAAAATGAAAACAACTTGCATTAGTAAAGTTTGGTAAAAACAACAAAATATTTTGCGAAACCTGACAGAAAAAGACAACTGCATAATTTTGAAAAGCTTTTCAGTTCTGCTAGTTTGCTAACTCTTGCAAAACTGTGCTGCAAGCAACATTTTTATAATTTTTTAAGAAAAGTGAAACGGACATACATTTCCACAACCAAATGACCATCAAGGTTGTTGGACAATAACATTTTGGAGCAACTGCGATTTCATATCAAAACGAAATGTTCATAAAGCATTTATATAACATTAAAATATCTCATTATATATTGGTTTTAATTTTAATTCTCTGATATTAAAATATTAGACGACAAAAGTATTTAGAAAATAAACCTTTTACTATTTTTACAGTCTTTGAGATACTTTTAGAATTGCAGTAACCTATCTAATACAAACAGAATATTCATTTGAAAAAGGTCTTAAAAATAATTTATGCGGAAGTAAAAATTCATTAGCACTTTTTCCGCTAAACGTTCACTGAGAAAATGAAATATATGTGAACAAAGGTTAAAAATAATTAATGAAATTTGAAACAAAATCAACAGAAGCTTCATTTAAAAGAAGCCTTAAAGAGAAATTATGTGAAAGTGAAAATTATTTGTTACTTTTTCCATTAAAAGTGCGTTTAGAAAATGAAACATGTGAACAAATGTTAAAAATGATGCATGAAAATTGAATACAATGGCTATCAATAAAACTATCAACTTCATCTATCAAAAGAATGTATGTTACACCCCACCCCTAGAAAAACTGGACAAATTTTATAATAATTCGCAATAAATGAAACAACTTTATTAAGAAAATGTTAGTCAAACACATTTTGCAAGACTTTATTTTGAATCACCCAAAAACTATTTCACAGCTATAAAAATAAAACTTGCACACAAATATAAGTACATAAAAAATAATTCAATAAATAATATCATCTGAAGTCACAGCAATGTTTTTATAAGTCAATCAAGCAACATTATATTAAACTTGAATGCCAAATAATTAAATTTACAAAACTATGATATTTTCTAAATAATTAACATTCACTGGAATTAAATATATTTCAAATGGGTCATTTACAATGCTATGATAAAGATTGGTGTCTATTTTCTTTTAAGATTTAGATTCTTATATCATAAAAGGTATACTCTCGTCATAAATTAATTAATAAATATATATATACAATTAATACATAAATATATGCAATAATTAAAAAACACAGAATAAATATTAAAAAAATTTAACTATTAATAAAAATTAAAATTAAAAAAATAAATTCTATTAGTACAATAAAAGTGGATAAAATTTTTTTACTTATTATAAAATGTACCCACCAAAATATATTAATTCCATCAGCTCCTCGTTTCAATAATCATTTCATGATTTTATATGTAAGCTATTTCTCAGTATGAAATGACAGATACATGGAATGTATTTACTGACTGAATTTTTAATAATCATAATTTGGATACTAATTAGATTAGAGCATAGATAACCAGAATGCAAATATATCTATTAAGCTATACCAATTAAATATTATTAATAATATATTAATCAATTAATATATTTATTAAAAAGGAACAAGTCCAAAAACAGCTGCAAAACATGCACGATATGAATTTCAGTAACTTTATAAATAAAAGCAAAACTTCAAGGTATAAATAAAAGCAATCAGAAAATCCTACTAAGACACTATATGCTTAATTAATTGAGTGTAAAGATGACAGAAAGAAAATTAAATACTAACTTAATTTCAGCAATGCCAGTCTTATTAAATTCAGAGCTATTTTTTAAAAACACAAATCTTAGCAGGAAAGGAGAAACTAATAATTGCGGAACATTGTTAGTCTCTCAACTCTCATTCTTCTAAAATTCAATTAATTCAGTAGATTTTGTTGATGGCTTTCTATATTCATCAATCTGTCACTTTTAATTTATAACTTGTATTCTAATTCTGTCTTTTAAAAAGTGTTGAAAATTTTATCCTCTCTATACATTTGGCAGGTTGTTTTAATATTTCCTCTCCCATTTCATCAAGAAATGGCCATGACAATGGTCCACTTATTTCTTATTTAAACCAATGATATTTGAAATAACTACTTGCTCCACTGAAGGGGGGAGACTAGGGCTAAATTATCTCAAAATACAAAAATCTTACAATAAATTCCAATCTAAGTCTGAATTAATTTTTAAAGTAGCAAAATCTATAAACTTTATGATAACTTGTATTCAAAATTATGTTCGATACAAGTTGATCAAAGTTTGATGCAATATGATCTAAGTTAAATAGTAAAATTTATCATCATTAATTTAATATTTTTATTTAAAGAGCTAAAAAGTGATATTTATTTTACATTTCTTACTTGAACTAAAACAAGCTTATCAATATTTTTACTGAGATATACAGGCTTAAATCTAAAAAGCTTAATGCGGAATTTTAAAATAAATTTCATGACCAAAATTGAAGGCATAATTGACGGCCTTGTTGGAATGAAAGTACTTAAAACTACGCAAAATAAATTTAAGCAACCAATTACAAACCATCTTTTGAACCAAAGTTGATTAAATACATTTAGAATTATGTGTTTGTTTTTAAAGCAATATGCAACCCTGTTCTTCCCTATGAAAACAACACTTATAGTTGTTCATTATAATTTCAACATGAAATAGCTAGGCATATACAGATTAAAAATACATTTAATAATATTAAAATTTTGGTGTAATGATAAGTAATACATATAAGCAGATTTTTTATGTAAGAGCTGATTAAACTATATTTTCTACACAATGAAAACGGTTTGTTCAGTTTATGCCATCTTTAGCATCAGCCTTTCGAAATATGTTTTTTTTAATAAGAAATGATTAAAAGAAACACATGAAAAATAAAATATAACATTTATTAATAAACAAGAATTACATTTCAGTGTTCTTCGAATACAACATTATTGAGTCTTCCAAACTGAAATATCCACAGCTTATTCCCAAATTGAAATGAGATCAATTGCATGCCTCCTAAATGCAATAAACATAAATTTATGTTCTCAAGAAAATTTCGTAAAGTTTACAGCAGTATGAGATAATATATTGTCATAAATTAACATATATTTTTACGTGGTTTAGAAAGATAATTCATAACTATATCAGTAAAAATACAAGATTAAAAAAATCATCTTCAAGCATAGCTTGGATTAAATAGGCAGTACATAAACTGATTGATGTTAGATAGTTATAGCTTGTTGATTTACAGTATCTTTAAGCACTCATATACATATTAGTCATAGTAGTAGATATATATCTCGTAGTAGTAGATATATATACATATTTGTTTTAGTCATAGTAGTAGATATATAGTCAGGTTTCATTCACAGCAAAAATATGATACAAATATAAGTGATATGAATATTTTTCTTGCATTAGCTTGATTTAAAAAAATACTATTTGATTCAAATATATACTTGTATGAGTATGTTAATTGTGCCTTATTTTCAATTTACTTTTCTCTGGGTTTACACAGTGTTTCAGTACTCATAAGGAAATATATAAAAAGATTTTGCCCATTTAAGGAGGTTTGTTCCAAGAAGAGAAAATAATTTTCATGTTATTAAACAAGAACTCAGTTAAAAGTTACCAATTAATCTCAATTAATAATTAAAAATGAATTTCATATTTAAAGTCCTAATAAGCAATTAAAAATGTAAATAGCATACAATGCAGTAACAAAGTAGGTGGTAAAATTAAGCATTAGAAATGCAGCAGTCTTAATATTAGTACTTTTAAGAATGACCACGAAGTTCATCGAAATTTCGGTCTTATACATGAAAAAGTTATTTAATTATTTTCAAAGTATTTATTAAAAAATTACATATTGCAACAGCATGTACTAATTATTCATGATACTGGTCCCTCACTAATGCAAAGCTGAAGAATAGAATTTCTTAAAGACTCAAAAGCAAGTTTAAAAACAATGCCTCATAACTGAAATGAATATCAGCGGCAAACAGAGACACTGTATTACAAAATTTAACCTTTAAAAAAAAGAGATTAAGTTTCTGAGTTTAAACTGCATCTTCAGAACATCTTTTCTCTTCTTCACACCAAGTTGAATTTAAAAATAGCTTCATGAAGACAATGGTTAGGGATGAAGAGGATTTTCATTTTCTAAACACAAAGTTCCTAAAAATTAGTGAAATCACAATTAAGAAGAATATTTTAAAGCACATGTTTGGTATACTATTGCATAAGATTTATTTTCTATACTCCAGTTTTAGCTTCTTAGAAGCCGTAAATAATGAGCATAGAGAATATTTCCATTAGGATACATGTGTAACGGAGACGTGTTATAATGACTGAAGAGCTTCAAAATGCTATACGAGAGCTGTTAAAAGGTAGAGAAGTAAAATAGCGCAAAAAATTGACTAGAATTTTAATCTGAGGTAACTGTCTTGCTTACACAGTTTTTTTTTTTTTTTTTTTTTTTTTTTTGTTAAAATAAAATTAAAACAGTACCCAATAAAAAAAGTTGAGTATCGGATTTGAAATCAGTGTTAAAAAAAACTACAATGTTTAGCATTTGAAGGCCCTAAAACAAAACATATTTTATTTTCTTGTTCATTGTAATTCATGCTAAATGTCAACTCAATCATCACAGAAACACGCATATATGTAGCAAGTACTTGTTCATAATTAAGTTTCCCTTTTTTGCTTTTGGCTTTGCTTTAATTATTTTGTAGACACACGAATCAATACTTTTACTAACTGTATTTTATTAGTTCTTTGTTTATATTTGTTATATTTATGTTAATTTTTTATGACAAACTTTGCATTTCCTTAAAGTTTACGGTTACGAATTAAAATTCTTCAAATATCAGTTTATTGGTACAGTACCTAAAGTCCAAGTGTTTTCTAGTTGATTTCGGAAGACTTGTCCGCAATACTAGTAACTTTCTCTGGAAAACAGCATATTGGTTGCAATGACAGGTGTCATTTTCTTGTATGAAGTTTTAAAAGCCCTGGAGCTAGTTCTCTAGACAGAAAGAGCGATAAAGAACCCATAACATTGGCGGACACTCCCACAACAGCAGGATACGAGTAAGATGTCAGCTTGCAATCCGACGATTTACGCAGTTTGTCTGAAATAAATGTCAGAAGTTTAATATAAAATAAATTGTGCAGCTTCAAATTGTTAAATGATTTTTTATCTAGCAAATTGCTAAGAAAGCAGACAAACGCGAATGTAGTATGCAAGGCTAAACATCACTTATTAATCAAATAACACTGCAACTGAAAGCTTTGGATAGTCTAAGATACATATATACAAATATATCTATATCTATATCTATATAGATATATATATATATGCATATATACACTTAGCTTCCGTAAATCTAATTTATAAAAACATTTCATACAAAATCACGATTTTATTAATTTCTTATCAATCAGTGAAAGATCAGTGAAAATATTAGGCGTTTCCAACTTGATTAAGAAAAATGTTCCTGGACTTCAATGAGTAATGTAGATAAATTTAAGCAATGAAATTTAATTAGGAATTCGATATGAAATTCATACATTAAACAAGGAAGTATTCTGAAACATACAACAGCCTTCTTTGTAATTTTAACGAAACAAAATTATTTAAATAAAACAACTTGAAACCCAACAGAAAGCACAAAAACACTAAAATTAGACTTTAGAATGGAAATTAGTTCAATTGTGAAATACTTATATTTATTTAAGATAAATAAGTTCTAAATAATCTATGCCATAATGAATAAGATAATGAAGCTCGAATTTCTTCGTTAGCCAAACTGTACTCATTGCTTCTTCATTTGAAGAGACTAGAGAACAAAACGTAACACCAAGCAGAAGAAAACGAGCAGCAAAAACAACGAGGAAAAGTGCATTATTTTTCTCCTGAAACTGTCTTTCCAGTTGCCCACTTTCTACGAGCTGCTAAGATGTGAATATCCACGAAATAATTTCATTGATCCCGCCACAAATTTGTAGTTTATTTATTTAACTTCAACGATTTTTCATTTTAAAGTCTTATTTTAGTACTTACCATAGTAAGTATACAAAGGCATCATGCTATTTTTGTTTAAGTATGAAGTGTAGTATAAATTCGGTCACATTTTAAAATGTCATATAAAATCATCAAACCGGGATATCAGAATGCGGTTTTTGTAACGGAAGACTTATCACAAAGGCGGATTATATTGGGAGGGGGCAACATATTTTATAGTTTAAGTTTACGTGACAGATGGCGCTGTTAGTTTTAGAATATTACAACAGAATGTGAAAAATTAAGATTATACCACATTTACTCGTTATTTGCAAACATAATATTGTACTACTATGATGTAGCTAGCTATCCATCATAAGCTTTAAGTTATATCTCTTGTTTTAAAGGATTACTTTTGCACAATTTTGCGATATTAACAGTGCAGCGCCATCTAGCGCGTATAATTTCAACCAAACTGTAACTTGTTCTCTCTTCGGGAAAAGAATTCTACCTCTTTGATTAATCTTCGTGTGTTGGTATCAGCTGTGATACGTAAATTTGTTGAATTCCCATGAATTTTTAAAAATGTATCCAAATTAGTGAAACATCCTGTAATTTTGCTTCATTAATTATTCAATCATTTCGTGTAAATTATGAAATCAATTATTCTGGTCAATGTAAAATGCAATATCGCAACTAAAACATTTACTTTAAAAAGCAGTAATATTAAAAAAGTGTATAATGTAAACAAATATGTCTGACTTAAAATTTTATGTTACAACCAACAGTGCACAATCTACAGGCTATATAACTTTTAAACCTCTCGGGAATTAAACTATACCCTTAGATAATTTTTTCTGATTCCGAATCTAATGAGCTAGCTTAATTTAAAATGTATAAAGAACCTAAAATTACAACCAAGCGTGGGAATGAAAAAAAGAACTGAATAATAAAAGTTTAAGACCATGGATTCAACCCCATTTTACGGGAAAAGGATGAACTACTCGAACAGAAGGAGAAATAAATTTAGCAAGCAAGGCATTTAAACACTATCTTTTTTGATGACCCCCATCACTTTTTCAGATTTCAAAAATTAAATTTATATATATATATATATATAATTTCCTATTACAAGCAAGAGATGAAACTCCTTATTAGCTCTTTTTTTATGAGCAATATGTAACAGAGGATTTATCTGCAAGCTCCAAGAATGGTCAGTCCACTTTTGATTTCTGAGATTCTTGTTAAAACGGAATAAATAAGCTTCAGATAAAATCAGCATGCAGAGCATTAAAATTAAGTTCACGGAGAGTAGCTTGTCCGCAACAATAGGGCGCAGTCTAAACACAAATGATTTTAGTTATATTTGCTTTTTTCCCCTTAAGCAGCGTTAAATAAACTCTAATGCACATCCAGTCTTTGTAGTTGATCTAAAAATACAAACTACCCTAAGCAAGAGGAGTCAAAGTTAAAAGGGTCTTCAAGCTGTACATACTATTAAGATTTTCGGAGCGAAAAACATGAAAAGTTATTAATGCTGTCGCAAGGATTTGAACAATGGATCTTTCAGTTACTAGTTGGACCAGCTAACTATTCACACCCCAACAGTACGCTCGGAAGATATAATTTTTTTTTTTTTTTTTTTTTTTACATTATCCAACTGAACAAACTGAGGTGGTGACAAATTATCGTGCTCCGTATTTTAATTCGGGCGTCATTGTAGAGATTATTAAGATTTTCGAAGTAAGAAAGATGAAATATTAACGGTGTCCACACCGGAATTCGAATCACGGATCTTCCAGCTACTTGGGCATGCTAATTAATTTAAACCAAGACCGTACGCAAAGCGGACAGGTGGGATGATTCTTTCTCAGTAAAACAAAAAAGGAAAAGGTGTCATCGATTCAAAATTTAACATGCAGCTTCAGGAAAATGAACAATTTTGCTTTTAGTTTTGTAATGGTTATCAGTTCGAAAATGACTGCTATACTTGCCAGCATTTAGATAGATTATATAGTATATTTTCAGATATCCACCAGCATGAAAAAGAAAAATATCACTGTTTGAAAATGATGAGAAAAATCTACTTTTATTAATTAGACAGATTTCGACGAAATATTCTTTAAAACCATTGTTATCTAATCAAATCAAATGTGCCTTCACAACCACAGATCTTCCAATTGCCAGTTGGAACTAGTAACCACGAATACGACGAAATCACGCCATGGGAAAACTCAATGACCCTTTACATTCTCCCCGATCTGGTCCACCAAATCCAGCTGGGGACGAATTATCGTCCGCCCCATTTTTCGAATGTCAGTGTAGAGACAATGAGATTTTTCGGAGCAGGAAAAGTGAAAAATAAAATCTGCTCTTGTCGGGATTCGAACCACGGTCTTCTGTTTAACATCTACACGTACTAACCATTTACACTGTAGAGTAATTAAGATTTTTTGAAGGAGGAGACGTGAAAAATGTGCAGTGCGCTCGCCGGTACTCGAACTCTGGACCTCTCCAATACGTGTTGAGTATGCTTCCAGTTACACCACGAAGACATGGGGAAAGGAGGGAGAAAATACTTTATTACTTCCCTGGGGATCGCGGGACCCAATCGCCAAATCCTGCAGGTGGCGAATTATCGTCCACCACCTTTTAGTTCTAAAGCCACTTGTAGAGTCATTAGGTTATTTTAAAGCAGGAGAAGTGAAAATTGCACACTGCTCTCGCCAGGACTCGAACCTCGACCCCTCGAATACGCGTCGAGTATGCTTCCAATTACACCACGAAGCCATGCAGAAGGGAGGGAGGAAATACATTATAACATCACGACAGCACATTGGAGAATGTGATAATTCTTATAAACACAATATAAAGTACTTAATAAGCTGTAATCCAATCAACCTGGATAATTTAACATCCACTTTAATATTTTTAATGGCCCTTGATTATTTAACATCCGTTACTTGTAAACTCTCATTAACTACAGTACTTACAGTCGTCAGCTGGATAACGGTCAGCTGGGATAACGGTTAGCTGGGATAACCAGTCGCTCAGCTGGGATAACGGTTAGCGACGCTAACTGCCATACCGAAAGGCCCGGGTTCGAATCCAGAAGAAGGCTTGGATATTTGTAAATGTATAGTGCCTGAGCGCATGGGGACACTCTAAATATGCGGCGAGTCGAAAGTCTTATCGAGAGGTTGGTGGTAGGGGAAGAGGGCTGCGAGTCCCTCAAACCAGTCCCCCTGAGGTGCTCTCTATCAAAATTGGAGATAGAAATGAACGAAGTCGTAGTCACCTGTATGGTGTTGGCTCCTGCCAACGACAGACGAAATTTTGCACTCCTTGTCACGATGATATTCGTGAGCTTGCTCTAATGTTACTATCACACACGTGATATAAGTCACAACAACACAACATAATTAATCAAGTGGCAAATAACTTGGAACTCTCAAAATTTAATCATTCCGTCTAGCGTAACAACGATTATCAAGTACAAGAAAAACTGTCCAGATTGTTAGAAGAGTCGAAATAAAAATGAATCTTCAAAGTTAATTCTTATAAAATCATACTACCATAACACTTAAGAAGAAATCCTTCTCTCAGAAATTTTCCTCTCGATTCAGACACAATTGCTGTATTTACCCCAACATGATGCTCAATTTAGAAATAAGTGATGCTTGAAGGAGATTGGATTATATTCCGCATTTATGATGGCTGTGATGAAACAATCGATAAGAATTTAGTTTACTGGGAAGGAATTTCTTCCCTCATTCCGGAAAATTTACTGAAGTTGAATTCTGATTATAGAACAAAGTTATTAATATTTTTTCCTTGGAAAGTTATGAGAAATATAACTCAATAAAGCAACGATAAATTCAATAACGATCTATAATTTTCCCCGCTTAATTTTATTTTACGAATGTTTTCATTTCATGGAATTGGTTATCGATATTAATAATGATGAATAATTCAATAAATTTTGCATTCACCTTTACATAAGTAAATTTTTATCAGAACCGTCCACTGTTATCTAAAGCAATTATGCGTATATTTATTCGGCTGATACTGCGACCGTTTTAAAATATTCTTTTCATTCCACTTCATAAATCTGCCCCTGAATTTCGT